TTTTGGAGTTTAGCTAGGGCTGGCCGCCGCCGCTCACAGATATATAGTATCTAGACACACTACTAGAGGCGCGTTCCAACCTGCTCTAGGCCTAACATCTCTGGCAAAGGCATTAGGTCTGTGTAGGGGACCCCCAGCTCCCCACGATTGCAGGCTCCACCCCTGCACAGGCCTAACGTCTTTGGCCAAGGCTTAAGGCCTGGGCAAGGGATCCCTAGCTCCCCGGACTGCCGGCTCTGTCCCTGCCCAGCTCCCATTGCTGGCTCCACCCCTGCTTCCCGCTATCACTGGCCGGGGTGGCAAAGGCGCCCGGTTCTCTGATCACAGCTGGGGGGCAGGGCAAAGGCGGCCCCTAGTCTGATCACAGCTCGGGGGCAGGGCAAAGGTGGCCCCTAGTCTATAATAATAAAAGCCAGGGCTGTGAGGGCCTGATGCCTGGGCAAATGTGAAGTGTAGCGGTCGTACGGCTAATTACCATGTTTCTCTTTTATTAGATAGGATTATTATAGATAATACAATTTAATGGGAGTTTGCCACAGAATGGCATCTGAGCTGGGTTAGGCTAACAGCTGAGAGGGGTTCATTGCTGGATGACATGTGAGAAGTGCTCCTGCCCTTAAATCCTCTCCGTGTTTCCCGCTGAGAATGGTGGGGAAGAGCCTGTTTGAAAACATTGCTTCAGAGGGAGGATGTGATGGTCACTGCTGTCCTGCTCTGTTGGACATAGAACTGTCTGTAACGTTCCTAATTCTCAGTCCATGTTACTGTTCATGGAGCTGTGACCAGTGTTGATGGACTCATGCCCCCGGAGATTCAAACTGATGTATTTTCTCCACTGTGAGGAGCTGCAGGACCAACAGGAAATAGGGTCACTGTCCTGGTGTGAGTCCCTAGAGCTGATCCCCACGTTCACCATCAATAGGTGGAGGGAAAAGAAGTCCAGGTTTTTCATCTTTATTTAGAAACATTGTGAATAGTGGCCTGTATAACATAGCAATTTAAACATTTAAAAGCTTTATTTTTATCAGTTGGTATCAAAAGAATAACTCCCATAAAATGATTGCTGTTAGCTCTTGACCCTGAAAAGTTAACTGACTCAAGGGTTTACTTGAGCTAATCAAGTGGCCCAGCTCGGGTTCTCATCTTGGACTCGGAATCCAGGGATCTTTCCCGCTGGTTCAGGGAGGACCCTCCCCATGGGGAGACTTGCCTGTGCCCCACATCTCACTTTCTATTTTCCTCTCTGTTTCCCCTCTCTTCCCAGTGGAGCCCACAGTGACCATCTCCACAGCCAAGACAGAGGCCCTGAACCACCACAACATGCTGGTCTGCTCGGTGACGGATTTCTATCCAGCCCACATCAAAGTCCGCTGGTTCCGGAACAACCAGGAGGAGACAGCTGGCATCGTGTCCACCCCCCTGATTAGGAATGGGGACTGGACCTACCAGATCCTGGTGATGTTGGAAATGACCCCCCAGCGAGGAGACATCTACACCTGCCGCGTGGAGCACCCCAGCCTCCAGAGCCCCCTCACAGTGGAGTGGCGTAAGGGGCAGTTTCTTTCCTGCACCCTGGTCCCCACCGACAGAGGGCAAACAGCTGCCCCTGGTTGTCCCATCACATCCCTACCCGTGATGTCACTGCTGAGTGGACATCACAGGATGCTAGGCCTTTTCATTCCGTGGCAGGGGCATCAGAAGATTCCTGATCTCATGGTGTTTCCAGACACTAGGGAGTTCACTCTACACCACAGCCAGAACACAGCCTGAGGGCTCTGAGGACTGACTGTGGTGGCTGGTGATGGGGCTTAAGACCCAAGGTTAAGGATGCATGTGAAGGAACACCCCCCACCCCCCCGCATCACCACCCACGGTGTCCAAGTGTTTACTGGCTGGTCCCTCCCCAGGGATGGAGGCTTCCAAAGGGCCCTGTGGGTTTGGGGACAGAAGCTGACACCCAGGCTCTGCTCCCCAGGGGCACAGTCTGGATCCGCCCAGAGCAAGATGCTGAGCGGCGTCGGGGGCTTCGTGCTGGGGCTGATCTTCCTGGGCCTGGGCCTTGTCATCCGTCACAGGAAACAGAAGGGTAAGCAATTGGGGAAACGGGAGGATGGGCTGTGCCCGGGACCCTCTGTTGAGGGGGCCTCTGCTTGTAGGTGTAACTCTCCTCCTGACCTTGAAGGCAGGAGGCCAGGCTGGTGGTGGGAGGAGACAGACAGCTAGGCCAGGCTTTGGACTGGATTTTACTGGTTGAAAGGCAGCCCTGCCACAGGTGTGACTGTGGCGAATGTCCTGGGGCTGAGAGCTCATCGCTGTCTCTCTGGCCCCTTTCCAAAAGCTGCTTCTTTTAAGAAGGTCAGCGCATTGGCTTCCCTTCCTTCTAGCGACAGGTCCTCTCATTTGGGGGATTGTAGTTTAGGGGTAAGACCTTGTGGCTGATGGGTAGGGAGAAAATAGATTTCAAATTAAGTTGCTTATCTCATTTCCTGGCTGTTTGTGTGATGAGACCTTTCTCTGTGTAAAAAGTCCTTTTGTAGGATCTCATGGGCCTCTGCCAGGTACTGTCTCTGCTCTGATTTAATGGGGGAGGGGAGGGGGTGTGAGGACAGGAAAAAGAAGAAGCAGCATGAAGTGAGTGTTCCTGGTCTCAAAGGGCACGGTTCATGGCCTATTGCCTGCCAGGGGACCAAGGATTCGGGGAGAAGCTCGCCCAGTTTCTGAAGGAAACTCCAGGCTTGTTATCCAGAACCCAGGTTTAACTTTGGTGAATCTTTCTGTGAAATGTGGAGCCAGGGCCACGTCTTGGGTGGTAGACACGGGGATGATGCCCACTTTGTTCCACATGCTGGTGGCTCCTGCCTGTGGGCATTTATAAGTGAGTCCTAGTGGTGGAAAGAAGGTTAGTTAACATTAAATTTGCTAAAAACATGAAATGCTCATATTCCCCAAGGATAACAGCTATTCCCCCACCTCCTGCATGTCTGCGTGAGGCTGAAGTGCGTGTCCTCTTCAGCTGATTTCACTCCGACACAGATTCTGGGGGAGGTGATGACCATACGTGGAGACCTCAGCTTTACCTGATGCTGCAGGGCCCCGAGAGGAGGGGACAGGGTACGTCCCAGGTGCCTGGTGCTGATCACTCTCTCTTCTACAGGGCTCCTGCGCTGACTCCTGATCGTACTTTGACTGGGATCAGCTGTGTTTCCTCTGAAATGCCTGCTTGTTGTCCTTGCGCAGACTTCCCAGCTGCCTGTGAGCCTGCTCCCTCTGAGACCAGAGTCCTAGTTACTCTGAGGCAGTCTGCCAGTCAGCTCCTGTGACCCCCCTCGAGGTGGCTGTGAGCTTGGAGTCTGTCCTTTGGGCTGCCAACTGAGTCTACTCAAGGATCCCAAGGCATTTTTCTTTTGTTCCTCCTACGCTCCCCACCTCCCTTCACCCCCGCTCCACTGTCAAGAGAAGCACGTTAAAGGCTTTACCTGACTCCAGAGCTTTTGTCATAATTAAATATGTTGCCTGTATCCCGAGCCTTCTTAACTGGTTGGAGGCAGGAAGCCACTGTAGGATGAAAGGAACATGTTTTGCTCCTTGAGGGAGACTAGAGGCATCTTGGGGTGCCCTGATAAATGTGGGCAGAGGGGACAATTCAATCGTCCTCCTTCCTGGCTCTTTGGTATTGATGTTCAGTGCAGTGGCCTTAGGAAGTGCCAGCCTCTCTTCCAGCCTGGTGGGTAGAGTGTATGTCAGCATGGAGGAATTACCTGGGGCCAGGTATAGTGGCCTCTGGGGTCTCAGAGAACCAAACTGATGTTTCAGATGTCTTGGCAAGTCACATTGATCAAGGTCAATTTTTGTTTTGGGAAAAGTAAAACCAGCAATAAAAGTAATGTTCTTGGTTCCAAATGATTGAAACCCAACTGAAGTTTAGTTTGTTCATGTTACAATGAAGCCTGGGGTCAAGTTGATTTCAGAAGAGACTGGATCCAGGTATTCAATGAGGTCTTTGTCTCTCCTCTTTCTGTTATAACTATTCATGCACCTTTCTCTTTTCCTGCATTTCTTTGTTACTGTATATTTTTTAGTGTGTCTCTCTGCATTTTTTTCTGTCTGTCTCTGTGTCTCTCACTCTTTCATTGCATCTCTGTCTCTATTTCTAGCTACACCTCTGCCACCATTTACCTGCATCTATTGACATCTCTCTGTTTCTTTTTGCATCCTCTCTAATTTTTGCATCCTCTTATCACTGCACAACTTATCTTTGTTTCTGTGTATGTGTGTGACTGCCTGCCTCTGTTGTGTGTTTCTAGAGTGTCTACCAAAGTTTGAACAATTTTAGGAAAGATTCTGGTTGACCACCCCTTAGTAACATGCACACCTCTCAAAAACATCATGTGCATGGATGTAGACAGCTTTACGTTCATTCCCTTTAGTAGGAACATAGACTGGATCTTCCAGATCTTGATGATCCTGTAATGACTGCCCAGGGTGAAGGTGTCTACACCCACCATGTGCAGCACCCCAGCCTCCAACCTCATCACCGTGGAGTGACATATGGGGCAGTTTGTTTCTGTGGACCCACGACACGAGTGCAGAGTTTCTCTGCTCTTTGGGTGCATTGCTGGAAGTGCTGATTCATACCCATCTCACCCCTTGTCTCCTGCATTGCCACTTATCTGTGGATATAATGACCTGTTGATTCATGTTGATATTCTCTTCTCAGGTGTTTCAGAGGTCCCTGCACACTGAGGCTCACTTGACATGGGCCAGCACAGAAAGCTAGTCTCCATCTCAGTCTCTGGGTTTGTTACGGCCAGGTGGCTGAGAGCTTGTCTTTGAGGCAATGGAAGGCCTCCCCTCCTCCCTGCTCCTTCACCTGAGGAGCCAATTGTTGCTCCTTCCCTCTCCTGAATGAAGTCAGAATGGAGAACAAGGCTTTTCTGGGGCCATTGTCTTCTGTACCCCAGGCTGTAATGCAGGTCACCAGACATGGGCACTGTGAATGTGTGGGCAGATACACTCAGGAGGACTCTGCTCCCCAAGGTCATAGTCTGAATCTGCCCAGAACAAGATGCTGAGTGGTCAGAGATTTTGTCATCTTCTCAGGATGGACAGTGTCATTTATCAAAGGGGTCAAGAGGGGTGACACTTGGGGAAATGGGGAGCACTTGTGTGGGTGTCTAGCGAGCCCTTATTCTCTATATGTAGCACTTTGCTTTTGATGCTGCAAAGACAAGAGACAGGGCTGGATACTGAACCTGACCCAGAGTTTAGGCAGACAATGAGATCTGACTTTCCTAGCTGAAACATAAACCCTCTTATAAGGGTAAGTGGTAGAGTATATTCTAGGGCATTCTTATGGTTCCACACTGCCACACTAGCCACCTGCTGGGAGATTCTTTTTAATGACAGGGTCAGAGTCTTCTTCCCTTCCAGTGACAGCTTCATAGCAACAAGTATTTTTCTTTTTAGCACCAAGATTTCATTGGGTAATATAATCTTTAACTAATAATTTAATCAAAATAACATTACATCCTGTATAAACAAGTTTCTACAAAAAGAGCTGAGTCTTAGTAGACGTACATCTTGGAGAAATGTATGGGTGTGCTAGAGAAAAACCTGCTGGTATTTACCCTGTGGCTTTACCCTCCATCATATCAGTCAGTATGTCTTTCAGGGACAGTGGCAGTCATCAACATTCCATAAGCTTATGCACATTTCCCAGATTCCTCTGTAGTTCGTGTGGAATCATGTAACTAGTACCAGCCAATAGAACTTTAAAGTGGGTGATAGCTGTGTCTACTTTGTCTTTCTCGGGAAGCCATTTTTGAGGTGATGGTGTGTAATATGTTGGAAGCTTCATAAGCCAAGTCTCCTGAATGTCTGTAGAATTGAGTCCTCTTTATTAAATTAAGGCACGAAGATTAAATTTCTATCGCAGGTTAATATCTTACTGCAATATAAGCTTTCCTCTGACTACCTGGGAATGTTTAACTTAAGGAACAGAGTTCATAAGTTAATAGGGTGAGTCAGTTGAGTTAATGGAATTTAAGAGATGATGCATTAAAAAAATATTTACTACTTTGTTTTCTTCCACCCCCAAAATTATGTATTCCCAACAACTAGATCAAGTGCTTCTCTAGAGATGCTGTCCTGACCCATCTATCTCCTCCCTTCAGTACTGATGGATTTATTCCCTCAGTTGCTGTCTGACAGTCCTCAGCTCTCGGCCCTCCTCCAGAGTTGCCTTAGGTGAGGATGGCTGCTTCACCCAACTTCAGCCCCCTCCCCAGGGGAACTCTCCTCCAGTGACTGCTCAGTGTGGGGCTATGGAGGTCCCAAGCCTCACCCTAATTTGGATCAACTCTGAAGGGCTCCTGAAGCTTCAGAGCTCCCTTGAGATTTGGATGAAGACATTTTTGGAATGAATAATAGTCCAACTTCTAAAACTCTGCTTAAATCATGAATCACCTTACATTATCCTTCTTTCAGTTACTATTTTAATTTACATGTACTTATTTTTGTATCTTCATCCCTTAAATTTGACCTCGTTGGAAGATAAAGGTATTGACATCCTTCCTCCTCCCCTGTACATTTCCACTTGCCAAATTGAGGTACCTGCACTTTTAAATAATATTGTCAAAATTGAAAATATTAACATTCTTCTGTAACAATGATTGTTTTGGGGTCTGTTCATAGCTTATTTCTAAAAGTTGAAGAAAAGTTATTTAACACTATAAATATCATTTATAATGAATCTCTTTTCAGTGATGTCCTGGATTGAATACGCTGTTTCTTAGATTCCTTGTCTTCTAATTACTTTTTTAAAAAAAGTCAAAGGGCTCAGCCAGTATGGTTCAGTGGTTAAGCTTCAACCTATGCACCAGGAGGACACGGTTGGATTCCTCATCAGGGCGCATGCCCAGGTTGCAGTCTTGATCCCCAGTGGGGGGTGTGCAGGAAGCAGCCAATCAATGATTCTCTTTCATCATCATCATCTCTCTCTCTCTCTGTCTCTCTCCCTCTCCTTTCCTCTCTGAAATCAATAAAAATATATTTAAAAAATTTTTAAAGTCAAAGGTTATATTTAACTTACTAGAGGCCTAGTGCATGAATTCATTCACAGGTGGGGTCCAGCTGACCTGGCTCCAGTTGGGGTGGATTGGGGCCAGGCCTGTCATGGGGAGGAGGAGATGGCGGAAGGTTGGCTGGCCAGCCTGCCCTGATTGGGGTGAGGGGAGCCGATTGGGGCTGGGGCTGGCTTTGGGAAGGTCCTGTGGGTGGTGGGCTGGCTGGCCTGTCCCCCAAATGGGGTAGGGGAGCCAATCAGGGGTCATCAGCCTGGGGGCCATGGGAGATTGTCTGGCCAGCCCCACCCCTAATTGGTGTGTGTGAGGGGCATTCTGGGGTGGAGCTGGCTGCAGGGAGGGGCTGTGGGCCAATCTGGTTAGTGGGGGCTGATCAGGACTGGGGCTAGCCATGAGGGAGGGGCTGTGGGTTGTAGGCTGACCATCCCTGACCCTATTGGGGTG